CTAAACACATCATTTTATCCTTTATCTTGATAGATAGGGATAAAAGCTGACGTATGTATCCCTGCAAACCAATACTCATAGTTACCTAAAAGCTAAACTACCTATGTACATGACTCGTGTTATTGGAGAAATCGTACATCTAGTAAAACAAATCTACGATTTACGTTCAACAGCAAAGTTAAATTAATGTTGTAGAAATCTGCCCAATCTATAACCAGCCAAGTTCAGATACACGGTAATATATGTTTTGTTTGATAACCCTATTTATTTAGATATCAAGAGACTTTAGTATGTTTATAACATTTAAAACTTTAAATGAATTGACATACTTACTAAATTACGGTTCTTTGTATGATGTGAAGAACCTATTAATCCTTAATATCCTTAAAATAAGATCGTTTATCAATGAGTAATCGCAAAATAACATATATTTCTAATCCTACGAAAATAGTTTTACAAAAAATTATTTCATTCTTCCAGACAATACTGAGTGGCATCAGTATTGTCAATTTGTCAAATCTCGGCACAAACTTATTCCTATTCTTTAAGAGATAATTGTTACAAGAATCATCACCGTTTAATCATTGGCGTACCGTCTCTAGACGAAAAAATTACTATGATTAAAATAATTTACGCAATCTCTAGCGACTCGTATATGTATCCCTCCATCGAAATAATGAAATTTTTTTTGTTTGAAAACAACACGACAGTAATAAACTTTTATATAGTTCTAAGCAACGACGAACAAATGCTATACTAATCATGTTTACAAAAATCAAATTGCAAACATCTACGTAGTTCTCAAATTATTATGAGAGAGTAGAGGAGTGTCTTGTTCAGTGGCGGTTTGCCCGTAAGGGCACTTGGGCACGTGCCCTAGTATAATAAACAAAAAAAAAATAACTTACATATTTTATATTTTCCTCAATGCCTATTATTATTTTATCTAATATTCAGCGCAAACCGTTGGCACGACACTGGACGACCGGGCGTTGAGCGACGTTCCGAGAATTCCGATAGATGGGCACAGTAAATGTGTGCCTCTGTTGTTTTCTCTCATTATGATGCAAAAAACAAGGACAACGACAATATCGCTTAGCAAGAGATGAACACATGCGATGGATTATACGTCACAAGCGGGGCGCTGTCCTCATTGTAACGTGCTGTACCCATGGCACATATTACCTAGACCAGATACGAATGTACGCAGCGCATCTTTACCGGCCCCCTCAAAAAGGCGATGCCGGTTTCGGCTTAAGGTGGGCGTTTGTTGGACCATGATAATAATTTATTTATTGTGATTACGAAAAAACGTTAGTTGGACCATTGGAATAGTTAAGAAATAAAACTAAAAAGAAAAATAACTTTTTTTTTATAAAGCAGTCAAAAATATGATGAAAAAAAATCAATAATATTTATAAATGGGACAAAATTTTAATTTTTCTTTTGGTTTTGTCTGACTTTTTCGAGGATTTCAAATCTCTGTTTGCAAATTTAAGAGTATAAAAAATTCTGAGTCTTATTAATAATTTAATGGTGTACATTTTCGCAAATTGTTGGCAAGGATGACCAAATTCTATTTTGCTCATCTCAAAAAGGTATGCGTTGGAAATTCCAGGCTTAGTTGACAAACTATCAAATAGAGATATAAATATTTTTTCTAATTTGAAAATATAAAAGAGAAATTTTTCGCTGGGAAACTTTAAATTGCCAAACACCTTTTCTTCAGAGTCGTATGCTTTAAAATGCGTTAGCAAGTTTGAATTGTTAAGTAAATTGCATTCTTCTGAGAAATTTACGCAAATTTCGCAAGAGTGGATATGTAATGATTTTTTGATTAAATAGCCACATACATAGTTAAATGCATTTTGAGTGGTCACATTTAGCTCTCTGTAGTCACATTCAGAAATCGTTATTGCCCCAACTGATTGTACATGAGGTTTGGTTTCCGTTTTATGATAATTATTTCAAACACGGTTTAGTTCTGTAAGTAAAATGTCATGCCATGTTATCCATCGAAAAAAAACTTATTCGGTCCATTTCAAATTTTAATAATCTGGTTATCGATCACTTCGCTAGCCAAAAATCCAGAAGAAAGGACTTCAACTATAAGAAATAGTATATAACTGCAGCGGTACCTAGCAGTTAGTCTTCAATTTTGTAATATTTAATTTGTTTTGAAATATATTTAATTTTCCTAAGGGAAAAACGAATCCCGGGATTCCTTTCCAGTGTATGCCCCACTGCCGCTAGTGCCCACGAGCTGCCACTGGTCTTGTTAGAAGGATATATGGTTAAAGGAATTGACATTTAAATTTGCATTCTTAATGCCAATTATCATCAGTTTATTGTATTTTTCTCGTTGCAACTATCATAGTTGAAGGTGTTACCCAGGAAAGTGTAACAAAAGTATAAAGCAAGCATCGTTGCTGTAATTACTGATTCATTCATAAAACGTTTGCTCGCACCTCAGATAAATAAACTCGCCCAAACCATCCCACTCAAAATGAGAGCCATCTCGCTCGTTGCGATAGCTCTGTCTGCCTAATACAAAACACAATCTGAATGCTTGCAATAAATAAGAGCTCAATTATGAATGAATGGATTTAGTCTAGTAGTTTTTCGTCGGCGATTCGAACACTTTTTTTAATCTACAATAAAATTGACACAGTTATATTTTCACAAATATTAGGGCTTATTGTTAATTCATTTGGTGACAAATAGCATAAGACATGTACTAGGTTGCAACTAAGAATTTATTCATGGTTAACTAGAAATTCATTTTGATGCGGCAGAAATTCCATTTACACTTTTGAGTCTGTTCTAAACAAGGGCAGCTTCCAGTTGAAATTAGGAAACACCAATAAAGGATCTACAGAACATGCAAAATAATTGCAGTAGTCGATACTATTGATAAAATTGGTTTTTTAAATATTAGTCCTATTCATAAAAGCCATTAAGAATTGCGAAGACTTTTTACATGTCTGCATAAAAAGGATTTTTAAATTTTATTCAAATAAGGAAGTTATTGAAAAAAAAAAGGAAAAGGAAAAATTCAAATAAAAAATGTATTTAACAAAAAAACTTTTAATATATACTTATTTATACATACGAAGTGATATCAAAAAGTTTCGAAACTAGTTCTGTAATATACCAATAGATGAGAATGCAAGGCTACACGCAGAGGCACAGAGAGCAATTTTGCCATTCTAGTACAATTGTACTAGTTCTAGTACATTCTGAAGGTATCTTGTAGATCAGTACTCTTAGTACAGCATTCTTGTATATACATAATGTTCATTCCTACACCAATCGTGAATGTCATTGAAGAGAGGATCCTGTACCGGTATAAAACTAAGCAGTCCTAACTACCGCGCACAATTCTGGCATCCGTGATTTGTTTTTTCTTATCACATTTCTTATAAAATCTAGTACCTAACCAAAAAATATTCTGGCAACACTGACAGGGAGCAGTGTTGTCAGTTTGTTATGATATAACAAATCTATTACATTTATGAAGTGTTCATTACATTATTACATTTCCAGTAATTCTATTACATTTTCAGTAAATCTATTACATTTTCAGTAAATCTTAATAAATTTTCACTAACCTAACGATTTAACCTAACCGTGGTGTATGGATTTTGATTTTGCCGATTACTCCAAACAATATAATAACAAGATTTACATTTTTATGGTCAGGGGGGAGGGAATTTTGTTATTAAGAATAGATTTAGTTTTTGTAGCTGTTTGTGTAGATATGTTCTGATATTTTTGCAAACAGATTTGAATTTTATATTATAAATAACTTATTAAATTTGTGATAAAGAAACCAAAAGCTGCGACTACCGCTATGTACACAAATAGTGCAAGAAACTAAAGAAAGAAAAAACAAATTTTACGTTGACTAAAACTTCTATTACATTTTCTTTAAATTTATTACAGTTTTGAGAGTTCCTCTATTACATTCATTCACAGTACTCTGGCAACATTGAGTCAGTGTCCTAAGAGACATCGACCTATGTACATCAAGAACTGTGCAGATGGTGACCACGTGGGTTACCACAGGCTTGTTCTGCTTTCTTTAAAATGTAATGCAAATCGTCAGAGATCCAATAGAACAGTTGAATTGTAAATTATTCTGAATAATTTGAAAATTGGGAAAGTAATCTCAAAAATCCTCCTACGAATTATTAAGACCATCCCCGAACCTCAAAGGTGAAAACAAATACTTGGAAATTTGAAAAAACAAACTGTCGTCGCGTCACCAGGATTCCAATCTAGACATCCTTGTTCTCAAAACTTCCCACTGATCCTCTAGTACTCTGAGAGTTTTTCACATATTTCTAAAAAATCAAAACAGACCTCACATCTTTAATGTCATAATGGATAGCACGTTAGGTTAGCGAGCGAATGAGTAATTGTGTGAAACTGGGCAAATTCGGTATGAATATGACCCTAAGACAAAGCATCAGTCTCCAGGACCGAAAAAGGCGAGGAAGGTCCGCATCTCGACCATCGTCTTTTTCGACATTCACGGCATGGTGCAACACAAATTCTAAGGTAGGACCATTCGACGAAAGCGACCGGATCCGTGGCGCGCAAAAATCTAGCTGTTAAAGGACGACAATGCACCCTGTCACCGTGCTCTCCTCACACGTGAGTTTCTCACCAAAAACAAGATGATCGAACTTCCGCACCCACCCTACTGGCCAGATTTGACTCCTGCGAACTTCGCCATCTTCTCTAAGCTGAATATTCAGCTATTTGACATCATTGCGAGATCCTGCTCGAATCGCAGAAAGGGCTTGAAACATTTCGAAAACAAGATTTCCATGGCACATTCCAGCATTGGTAGAAACGCTAGGAGCGCTTATTACTGTACAAGGTGGCTATATTGAAGTGTGTAAAGTAAACACAGATAAATAAAGTACTTTCTTATAAACAGAACTAATTTCGAAACTTTATGATACCACCTGGTATTTTATTGTTTTACTTACCACTGTGATAGGGTACATGGGGTTTATTATTGTAAACAGAAGTACATGATTAGGTTTACTTTCATCAGGCCTTTTTCGTCTAGGTTCTTCTGTACTTGCATTATACTCTGCATTTGCCTAAAAAAAAATGATTTATTTTTAAAGGTGTAAAGAATATCCTACTTGGTTGTAAGTATATTTTAAAATTAAATGTACCGAGATTATTTTTTAAATTGCCGCTAGACCTATAACACAATGTACAAATTATGAACGATTCATTTAAAATCAATTGTAAAGATACTGTATGTAAATTGATTGTGATTGTAAAGACTTCCAATATACTTGAATCAAAGCACTTAATGGAGAATATCTATAAGAATATTTTTTAATAAAGCTTATTTGTTATTGGGAATAATTATGCAGTGTGTCCCATTTGAAAAGATCCACTATCTCAATAACTTTTGCAGAAACAGGTTAATATTTTTAAAAAGGACACTCTCTCCACACACATCTGTCACCATTACCAATAAAATTAGCTTTGATATAAATATCACACTTTTGATTAATAACAATTTTGTAGGTACCCACAGGAGGATGGTTAGGATCGAGGCCTGGAGTATTGTGGAGTTCTATATTTTATGGATTGCATCAATTAAAATGTGTGGTTGTAAAAATATAATTTGAAAAGAAGGTAATAAAATTAAAGTGATAATGACAATATAAATATCAATAACAATGCTCCTGGCAACCGAGGTTGTAAGGTTATAAAAGAGGTGAGCTTAATATTTGCCAGTCACTAAGAGTTTGTCACATGATGTAAGGTTACCAAAAGTGTTTGACGCTTATGAAACGATAAAACATGAAGACAGGTATGCATGCAAAAATGTACCTTTTCTATGATATACCACACACGTGGTAATTTGCTTTTGAAATTTATATATTGGGGCAAAAGAGGGGTGGAGAAAGATGCATGGTGATGATATAAAAATGTCCTGCTCAGAATAAAAAAAATGAGAGTGTCTTAGCGATTTTGCAAATAATCATCGAAGCAAAAATTATTGAGGGTGACTTCCTTTTAAATATTTCTTTAGAATATTTTCTATGTATTCTACCTTTTACTTTAAAATTTTGGATAGCTTTATTTCTGGTTAAATTTAAGTTGAAGTCTTGAATGTTTGGGGTATGAGGCAGAGAGATTCGTAAAAAACTCGGTCACAATCACTCTTACAATTTATCTCACAGTATATTTTTAAATCATCAGCACATAATATGCACTCAACATCGATTTTTTCAAGAATATCATTAATGAAAATGTTAAAGAGTAAAGGGCCTAGATTGCTACCCTGTTTAACACCAGAAGTTGCTAAATATTCGATAGACTTGAACCCATTATACATTACAAATTACTTACGATTCGTTAAATACGACGCAAATAAAGATAGTAGAGAACGGCAGATACCAAAATTTAATAGTCTATCGAAGGCTTTAGAAAAATCTGTGTAGATAATATCAGTTTGTGTTTGCTTGTCAATTGCTTCAGAAATGTATTGAAAATATTCGTTAAATTCGTAATAGTCGAGCGTGCTTTCATAACTCCGTGCTGCTTAGGAGAAATTGATTAATTTACATTATTGTAAAGATGATTATGGAGAAGAATTTCATTAGATATAATTGAAATTGGTCTGAAGTTTCCTACTTCTGAGTTTTCCCCTTTTTTGAAAATAGGATATACTTTAGATAATTTCCATATTTTAGGTACAGTTGATCTTTTTAAACAGATATTTAATAAAATTGTTAGAGGACGCATCTGATACTTCCGTCTCATTAAAGCTCTTTATGTTGAAAATAAATGACTCTTTTTCAATTAAATCATTTATATTAAAATTAGACTTAGGTAGGTACGACTTAGCAAAATAATCAGTAAATGAGTTGAGAATTGACTTGAGGAGAATTTAGTTCACTGCAATTGTAGACCATTTTATTTGGAATGCTACTTTCGCCCTTTTTTTTATTAATGAATGTCCAGAATTTTGAGGAATTCTGATTAATAGCATCTTCCTGCTCTTTAACATGGTCCTTGTAAGCTTTATCAATGTCTATTTTAATCTGTCTCATCAACCGTTGAAATTCTGAATATGCGTACAAGTGTTTTTTACAGAATTTTAGGAATTTGCCTTTTTCCTTAATAAGTTTAATGATATTAAAGTTAAACCATGGTGGATAGCTTTTGTTTACTGTTATTGCTAAATCTCGGTACATATTGATCAAATACATTGTAAAGTTTACCGTAAAAATATGTACAGGCATCTTCGGCATTTTGAAATACCTCTAGAAAAGTCCAATCAATATTAGAGATCAGGTTATATAGAGTGCTCCGCAACCGGTGTGCCGCGGCACACTGGTGTGCCGTAAGCCGACTTGAGGTGTGCCGCTCTTGCAGACAATACGAATCAGATTCGTATTGTAGCGAGACCCGCGAAAAATAAAGCAATCTGACAACAGCGCCGATGGTAAACGTCTATCCGTCTATCGGCGCGGCGCGGCGGCTTGATTCTCGAAGGCGACTAAACTAGAAAGATCCGTGCCGTTCGAGGCACGACTCGATGTTTTCCTGAACATCGCCACTGCCTATATAAGCGCGCCTGTCGTCGCTCAGAGACTCAGAGAGAGTCGAATAGTCAAGTGAATCAGATAAATACGCGGGCAAACAAATAAATCGTAGAGTGAAATAAATAGTGAATTGCTATATAAATAAATTCTTGTGCCTTATAAATAAGTGAACTGGACTAAGTTTTGTTGCAGTATCTACTTTTATAAATAACTATAGTGCTTCAAATATGGATAAATTTTTGCTGAAATCACGAGCAGATGACGAAGAACCTAGCACAAGCTCCAGCATAAGTGCTGCAAAAAGAGCAAAAAAGGTGCTGAAAAGGAAGTACAATCAAGACTACCTTCGATATGGTTTCACTTGGTGTGGCGACGAAGCGGCTCCAAAGCCTGAATGCGTCATTTGCGGTGAACAGTTGTCAAATGAAGCAATGGTACCCAGCAAACTAAACCGTCATTTGATCACAAATCATCCCAGTTGCGTCAAAAAAGACATTCAATTTTTCCAACGGCGCTTGGATCAAAATAAGAAACAAAAGCAGTTTATGAAATCGGCGGTTACGGTTTCTGAAAAGGCATTAGAAGCTAGCTACCTTGTTGCAAAATTAATTGCACAACAAAAAAAACCGCACACTATCGGTGAAACGCTTATTAAACCAGCATGCATGGAAATTGTTAGACTTATGCTTGGGCCAAACGAAGTTAAGGACGTGAGTAAAGTTTCTTTGTCGGCCGATACTGTTAAAAGACGTATCCAAGATATGTCAAGTGATATTTTGGGAACACTAATTAAAAAAATCATTTCGGCTGGAATTTTTGCGCTTCAAATCGACGAATCAACCGATATTAAAAATAAAGCACAACTGATGGCTATTGTATGATAAACGGTCATGCTTAAAAGATCTTGACCAAGAAATGAGAGTTGCGCTGTCTAAAATTGAGCCGAATATAAAACTTTTGTGTTCAAAGAAGCAAGCGCAGGTATCACATTAATCAGTCATCATCATGTCAAAATATTTATTACTATTGACGTGTCAACAGAAGTAAATTTAGTATACCTACCTGTCCTACCTAGTATTTAGTATAGTTCTCATGTATGTACCTATTTGTATTTTTCATTCTATCTGAATAATAAAAAAAAATAAAAAAAAAATATGTATTATGTCCTGAGTGAAAATTTTGATGCCCCAAATCTGAAAGGGGCTTCTTCACATTTTAAAACAATAAAAAAAACTAAGGTAGTTTGGACATCCATAAATAATTAGTATACATGGAGTGAACTGACCCCCGACCTAGCTACGCCACTGCTATAAATATATTTTAGATTTTGGTGTGCCACGAAATTCTAGGGAGCAGTTTGGTGTGCCTCAGATGAGGAAAGGTTGCGGAGCACTGATATAGAACATTGAAATTTGCTTCGCAAAAGTTATAAGAATTGGTATAGGATTTGGTAAAATTCTGTCGACAATTATTAGGACCTAAGTTGAGTTTACAAGAAATGTTAAGGGCAGGATGATGACTGATTTCATTAATGAGGTAATCCAGGCAATGTTCAACTTGTAGCTTATGATTTGAAAACACTAAGTCCAGCAGTTTATCGTGTGGATTATAAACATATGCGCAGAATCTTATCAGGGAATATCAAGATTACTATGTAAGGAAGATGGAAAATCATTAAAATTTACAGATTTAAACATAAAACTTCGAAATAATAATACGCACGTTCTGGTTTTATACATTTATTTCTTTCAAAGGGTCATCCCGAAGACATTTAAATAGGGGATACTTAAAAATATTTTTTCCAATTTTGTAAATTCCAATTTATATACGGGATGGACCACCAGTAACTGCATAGATCGATATCGCAAACTGGATGTAGAAAAAATTTGAAAATTTGGGAATGGAATGTCTTGGGGCAAATTTAGCTAAAATATTATGGGTACTTCCGATTACGCCTTAAGTTGTTTATTTTAAATAGTATATGCTATATGTTAATACATTTTTGGATTCTAATCAAGATTCTATGCAGATTTTAGGTATCATGTCCTATGTATACCTAAGTATAAGCGTCGGAACTTGTAAATATAATTTTCAACATAAAAACTTAAATATGTCAAAAACGCTCAGACTTAGGTATAGGACATGATACACAAAATCTGTCCAGATTTCCAAATTTTCAAATTTTTCATACATTTGTTTCTAAGATATCGATCTATGCAGTTACTAGTGGTCCACCCTGTGTAGGGTCCAGCGCCGGATCTAGAGGGGAGGGGCAAGCCCGACCCCGTGCCCCGGGCGGCAAATTCAGAGGGCTGCAAATAGTAAAATAATTTTTTTTTCATAAATAGGGTTTTGAAATCAATTCACAGATAATCAAAATTTATTTGAATTCTATCTTTGCAAAACAGGTCTAGTGTTTATTGGGTCTTATTACCTGCTTAATCCATAATCGGATAAGTTCTCAATTGCCCAAAACGTTGAATGACTTTAAAACTGTATTAGCTTTAAAAATTCCCAAAATTAAATAC